CAAGAGACTCCAGCTTTTCAACTCCTTTGTCACCAGTAAATGGCGATGGCTCTCGGCAGCTGTACGACCACTCTGGGCAGTAGGCAAGCAACTCAAGCAGCTCCAGACACACTTCCTTTCCTCCATGACACGTCTTCCCCATGACCCCCTCCAAACGTCGTCGGAGAACTGGATCTCGAGGCGTAGAGGATCAAGAATGGCTGCGCAGTCTTGCGGCCATAAGCCGTGGGAGTCAGTGCACCTTGAGTCGTTTATGGGGTACTGGGGACATGCAGCTCGGCTAGATCCTGAACTGTACAGGCCTATCTCTAGGGTCTTACAGATTCGAAATGAGGCTTGGGGAGAGGAATGCCCTGAGGCCAGGCGCCGACGAGGACGGTGGCCCAACGCGCCGTTTGGCATCACGCTCTTGTGGCGGCGTTGTAGGCTCCCCGGGGAGAGCCAGTTCTGGGAAGGAATGGCCCAGGACAGGCAACGCTGGAAGTCTTTCACTAAGGAAGTGTTCCAGATAAAGGGGCTCCTCCAAGACACTTTCTACAAGGACCTTGGCACGGTAGATCTGTGCCACAGATGCCTCCTGAGAACAGGTGACCGCTTTTGGCTTCTGCCACAGACACATCCCCCAATCGACGAGCCGTATCAATCTTCCTATAAGCACGTAGTGTCTCCAGAGCTTCTTGATGAAATTGCTTGCTTCACCATAGCGTGTGACGGAAGCAGGAGAGGGCAGCAACTAGGAGCGGGGGTGGCAATCCTTCCCCCGTACGGGGAGATCCCGAGGGACGCCATCATATGTGGCTTCCCGATGTTCGGCAGCCCTGCTACCAATATAAGGGCGGAATTGTTGGCGGCTACTAAGGCGCTAGAAATGTGCCTGCAACTGTTGAACAGAGTCCCGGAAGCCACGCTGATTCTCCTGACGGACTCCGCTTATGTCATCCAGGGGTCCTGGAAGGAGGCACTGTCGGGTTTGCTCATGTGTCACTGCAGGCTGGCCTCTGTATGCTGTGGCACAGATGCGCAGATCGAGTGCGGGTTAGGCACGTACGAGCACACAAAGGACATGCCCTCAATGAACTGGCTGTCTATTGTGCTAAGAAGGCCCTGGACTACCCCAGGAGCCATTTCTTTGTTAGGACATTGGACGGAGCGAAAGCATTTGTCCCTGCGCAAGGTGCGCAGATACCAGAACTCTACAACATGTGGATGTGATTGTGCTTTTCTGGCTCATACCGGGTCTGTTTTATCAGATGGATCGTCATTTTGCATGCACGCGGCTTAATTCTCCGCATAATTTTCTGCATGTACACCTTTCCTGCATGTGCAAGTGCCTGCGTGCCCTGAACTGAAATTCATGTGCATGTACGTAGGTTTTCCGTGCGAGCTGACATGTGTTGTATAGGGGGGGGGCAGGACGGGCACGAAATTAACCAGAGCATTCCCTCGCAAGCTGTCAGCGCAATCTAGGTAGTCCTCCCAGAACTGCCATGGAACTCGTGCTGCAGATGTGGAATGAGGTCGCAAGCAGACTGCCTTGGGAACCTGACACACAGCTCGGAAGGACCTCCCTCGGCGCTATGGCCATTTTGGCCTTGTGGATCACCAGCTCATGGATGTACTACAGTCGAAAGCGTGTGCGGAGCTCACCTACCTCACTGCCTGATGCGGCGAGTATCGGACCGACTCCCTCAGACGGTCTGCCTGATGCAAGCCAATGGGAAAAGATGAGCGCCCAAATGCAGCACATCGAGAAGATGCTGACTGCTATGCCACGAGAAGATGTCGCGGCAATTGTGGCCGAGAGCCGCCAACTCTCGAAAGACGTCAAGTCCCAAATGGAGGACCTCCGCGGGGAGATGAAAACAACACTGGCGGCGGTCATCCCAGTGGCCAAGAAAGAACTCGCAAGCTTGCTCAACCAAAGGCCACCTGCCTCGGTGGCCGATGTCAAGGCGGTGTCCCTCGAGATGCAGAACGTCCGCAA